CTGTTTTACTGTTTGGCTATGAAGCATGGCCATTAAATAAAGGTAGAGAACATGAGAAAATTTTTGGTGCTTCATCCCCGTTGCCTTCGTAGTATAGATTGTGTCGTAGTGTCACCACGTCAGTAACGCAGAAGTCAGGCGTGGAGTCTTTCGGGGGGGGGGGGGCAGAGGAAAGTCAGTTGATAAGGTCATGAACCTTTACCGACTGAGATGGCTGGGAGATGTGTTACTTATGCCTAGTCACCGTCTGTCTCGCCACATAATGTTAGAAGAAGTAGGTTTAGGCTTGAAAGAAGTTAGGAATCGACAGACTAAAACATGGCATCGATGCATTAAGTCCTTGACTGTTGGCCTGAACCGTGTAGAAAAATGTCGATCTTCCAGTTGGTGTCTGTACAACAACAGAATCCAGTGGTCGGAGACTTTATGTGTCATGACTCAATCTCAATGACGCAGATATATTAGGAGATAATCCTCATCTTGATCCTCATACTGAATCTAGTATTTTCTTATTTCTCTCTCCTCTCTTTTACTACTTTCTGTTGCTTTTCGCTGATTCTTCTTCATTCCTCAATCTTTCATTTTAGTGCTTTCCTGTTTGGTGTGCTGATATGAGGTGTGGCAACGTGGACCCTTATGAAGTAATGCTTGGTCCTATGCTGACAATGGTGATGGTGCTAAGTGATCATCCTACCTGAATACCAATCTCCATGGCTTATAACAACACAAATCTATGTACAGAAACTGTGTTCCGCACTTCCTACAACCCCAAAAACTCCCAAACAACACAAGAAGTGGACCAAACTAGCAAATGCATCTTGTTTTTTCGCTGCACGAAGCAAGGGGTTGCCTATCGCGACCCACCAATAACTAATTAGGTACCCAGATACCCGAATGAGAATGAGTTCAGAAACTATTGTCTTGAGTGGTAACTACTAATGCACAAATTCAAAGCATATTCAGACAAATGAAATTAAAAGTTCCGAAGTACAACACTGATTAGTTTGGTAAGTAGACAGAAAAAGTCATTGCATCATCAATTAATCACCTTCAAGATACCTACCCAATAATCCATTTTCTTAACTCCAAATCTATCTCGTAACGACTTGAACACCATTGGGCAATACTCTTTGAATTTAAATCTGCTAGGCATATTTTCCCTAGAAATAGCAATCATGACATTAAAGCACATAATTCACCAAAACTTACTTGTTAAAAAAGTGATTGTTCACCTTCACCTTTATATGTGCCTTAAAGTCATCTTTCAGTAGTAATGCACGTGGTTTCACATGATTTAGTGCAGAAAATGAGTAATTTATTCCCCACATAAGAACACTTTTTAGTGGTTCATTGGCTCGAAAGAGTTTCAACTTCTGCTTGACAATCCTCACTTTCTTATGTTTCGACACAGTGTCCATAGACTGATTAAAAAAGCACCTTAGTTTCTGAAAAGTCTAACCAATACCTGAAAAGTAGCAAAAATCATCTACATAACAACCACCATACACAGGTAAACATATTGAGAAGTTTACGTAAACGGTATGTGTTTGGAATCAAAAGCCCCTTAGCAACTATGTGCGCATTCGTGTAGTAGGCAATGAACTATGCTTATGGTTTGAGGGTTAATGATACTAGATGACTGCTTAAACCTTGATGGTTTTAGCGGAGTTCAAACCTGTGACTCCACATTTGGAAGTGGAGGTATAGACCAATGAGCCACAGTCCGACAAAGCATATGGTTAGGAATTTGCAATTCAAAATTGAGTGACAAAACATCCCTTAATATAGGTGTAAAACATGGTCACTGTGGTAGAATTTAATTCCATATTAGATTTGTTTATTTGATTTATAACATAGTGATATGGTATTATTTACTTGATGCTCGAAGCGTCATCAAGTAATATTAAGTGGATATTAGTGTTATCGGTTTGACAATCTTACCAACATGTACCTACCCATAGCTTAAATCTTATTAACACCAAAAGGTCCCTACATTCTTGCGAAGGTGTTCACAAAAAGGTCGGTACACGGTTGGTACACATTTTGGTGAATGAAAAACTAAATATTCTAAAATAAGGAAGGAAAACGACGATTATGGATATGTGATCTTATTCAGATCATGATCCTTGACAAGTAACTATTGGTTGGAACATTTAGCACACATAGAACAGTGAGCATAAGCAACACAAATTATAAATAAGAGGTAGACTAATAGGGATATCATACCCATCTCCGTAAAAACTGTACTAATAAGTAGTTCATAGAAACATGAAGACTAATAACAGGTACGGGAAAATAGTTGAACATTTATTTTCAAAGTGTCGCGATCTTAAATTACATGCACTCTATAATGAACTCCACAAGTTAATTCGGAAACGTATAGTAATCACAAGTCATTATTTCCAACTACACTGTTTTTATAAGACCGACGCCCTTTTGATCTTATGCCTGCCGTAATTTCAGTTCTTCATCATCATCATCATTATCAACATAGGACCAGGCATTACTGCGTAATGGTCCGAGTTGACACACCTCATATCAGCACATCAAGTAAAAAGGTAGTGAGGTAAAGGATGAAGATAAGTGAATGCAGTCAAAAGAAATATAAAGTACAAGAAGAAAGGAAAGAGGAGTGACAAAATAGTGAGATTCGGTATAGCGTTGTTAAGATGAGATGAGATGAGATAATGTGTGTATACATCTGCGCCACTGACTTCGGTTCTGAGCCATATCACCTAGGGTCTCCAACCACTGGTTTCTCTTGTCCCGTGGACCCCAACCACCTAGTCTGCATCGTCCTACATGGCTTAGACCAACAGTCAGAGACTTCATACATTGGTGCCATGTTTTAGTCTGGCCACCTCGCGCCTTTTTGTAATGTAAATTTTTGCTCCAGGACTGGTCTTCAGCGGTGCCCCACCGCGGCTAACAATAGAGAGTGAAGTGATTGAGTGTGTTGACCACTTCACTTACCTGCGAAGTAGGATCAACCCCGGTGGGTTAGTTGCCGATGAGATTTCTGCACGGATACAAAAGGCTCGATTGGCTTTTGCCAATTTGCGCCACCTATGGCGCCGCCGTAATATTCGTTTGTCTATTAAGGGTCGCGTGTACTGCACAGCAGTCCGCTCTGTTCTACTATATGGCTGTGAAACATGGCCATTGAAAGTGGAGGATATAAAAAGGCTTCAGGTGTTTGACCACTGTTGCCTTTGTAGTATAGACCGTGTTTCGTGGTGTCACCACGTGAGTAACGCAGAAGTCAGGTGTAGGTGTAGAGTCTTGGGGAGAAGAGGTAAGTCAGTTGATGGGGTTGTGAACCTTCATCGACTAAGATGGTTAGGACACGTACTACGTATGCCTAGTCACCGATTGCCTCGTCACACAATGTTGGCTGAGGTGGGTCCAGGGTGGAAAAAGGCGCGAGGTGGCCAGACTAAAACATGGCACCAATGTATGAAGTCTCTGACTGTTGATCTAAGCCATGTAGGACAATGCAGACTAGGTGGTTGGGGTCCACGGGACAAGAGAAACCAGTGGTTGGAGACCCTAGGTGATATGGCTCAGAACCGAAGTCAGTGGCGCAGATGTATACACACATTATCTCATCTCATCTCATCTTAACAACGCTATACCGAATCTCACTATTTTGTCACTCCTCTTTCCTTTCTTCTTGTACTTTATATTTCTTTTGACTGAATTCGCTTATTTTCATCCTTCGCCTCACTACCTTTTTACTTGATGTGCTGATATGAGGTGTGTCAACTCGGACCATTACGCAGTAATGCCTGGTCCAATGTTGATAATGATGATGTGGTCAAACACCTGAAGCCTTTTTATATCCTCCACTTTCAATGGCCATGTTTCACAGCCATACAGTAGAACAGAGCGGACTGCTGTGCAGTACACGCGACCCTTAATAGACAAACGAATATCACGGCGGCGCCATAGGTGGCGCAAATTGGCAAAAGCCAATCGAGCCTTTTGTATCCGTGCAGAAATCTCATCGGCAACTAACCCACCGGGTTGATCCTACTTCCCAGGTAAGTGAAGTGGTCAACACACTCAACCACTTCACTCTCTATTGTTAACCGCGGTACCGCTGAAGACCAGTCCTGGAGCAAAAATTTGCATTTGGGTGGTGAAAATCGCATCCCAAACATTCTCAAATTCCCACTCAAAGTGTTCAGAAGACTCTGCATCTTGTCAGCGTCTTCACCTAACAGGACTATGTCATCTGCATATTCTAGATCTAAGGAAAATTCACCTGTGATCGGGTCAACGTCTTTGTAATTAGGTGACGAGAGGGAAACCTCCATAAGAATATCTATGATAAAATTAAATAAGAATGGGGATAGTGGGCATCCTTGACGGACACCACTTGATGAGTATAGCTCCCTGGACAACTCACCATAGGCTCTAACATGCCCACAAGTGTTCGAGTAGAGAGCTTTCAATAAGGTGATGTACTTACTAGGCACGCCTTTCAGTGACAGACACTGCCATAAGACTTCTCGATCAACGGAGTCAAATGCCGCCTTCAGGTCGAGAAATACAGCTATTGTCGGGCGTCTGTAAGCATGCCTATGTTCCAGGACCTGGCGCAGTGTGAATATTTGGTCGATACATCCACGGCCAGGTCTAAAGCCTGCCTGGTTTTCTCGGGCTTGCTGTTCCCGAGCTCCACTCAGGCGTCGGAGAATTATAGAACTTAGGATCTTAGACACTATGTTTGTCAGGCTGATTCCTCTGTGGTTATCACAAGAGGACTTCTCGCCTTTCTTGAAGACTGGGATGATCAGTGACTTAGACCAGTCGGAGGGGATCGTATTTGATTCCCATATACTGGCTAACACTTCCGTTAGCCTGACTAAGAGAACTCTACCACCATTCTTGTATACCTCAGCAGGTAGTCCGTCTGGTCCTGCTGCCCTTCCCCGTTTCAGGCTACCTACCGCTTTCTCAACTTCTTCTAGTGTTGGGGGACCTGTCTCTATGTCCCATTCAGGGTCCGACTGGATAGCGGGCAGCGCAATGGTGGCTGGAGGCCAGTTAAACTGTTCCTCAAAGTGTTCTGCCCATCGTCCCAGTCGCCTTCCCTGCGAGTGAATCGCGATCCGTCCTTCTCCGCTATAACCTCACTAACTGTTGTTGACCATTTCCCCCCAGTCTCCTTAATAAGTCTAAATAACTGTCTACTGTTACCGATCGCCGCTGCCTTTTCCATCTCTTTAGCCTTTGCTGCCCACCACTGTTCACGATCGTTGCGCAGACTTTTCGTCAGTTTATTTTTAAGTTGCGCTCGCTCTTCATTGTACTCAGAGCCTGCAGGGATGCATTCACGTGCATCCATTAGTTTGGAAGAAGCTGCTGATATCCACTGGCTCTTTTTAGCCATTATCTTGGAGTCGGCTACAGTCTCCAGTGCTGCTTTTACAGTAGACTGAAGATGGCACCAAGCTTCTTCTGGATGAGTGACAGTCTTTTGTTCCGATAACTGCCTAGCCAACTTCTCACTGAACACGGCTTTGGTGTTTTCGTTGTCCAGCAGAACTCGTAGTGGTTTTGTTGCCAAATTTTTTCTACGTCCATTGAGACGCAGGCATATACGTGCTCGGACCAACGCATGATCGCTGTCCAAACACGTACTCCAGAAGGAGCGGCAGTCTTCCACCGATCCTCTCCAGCGATGACTAATAGCAATGTGGTCTATCTGTGTCCATCGCTGAGTCGAGCTCGGTGGACGCCAGGTCAGACAGTGCCTTTCTTTATGTCTGAAATTTGTGCTGGCTAAAAATAGGCGGTTATCTGAGCATAGTTGTAATAGGCGATCACCGTTATCTGTACGTTCAGCTGGGATTCCGAAAGTGCCACCTAAGTGCCTTTCTGCCTCACTCAGTCTACCCACCTGTGCGTTGAGGTCACCTGCAACAACCACTACGTCCGAACGTTTGGCTTTCGAGAGGAGGTTAGACAGTTTATGGTAGAACTCGTCCTTCACTTCATCCGAACTACAGTCAGTGGGTGCGTAAGCAGAGATTACAAAGAGACAACGGCGAGTCTCACTATTCCTTTTAGTTCTCACTGTGCCGTTCAGCCTCATAGCGCAGAGGCGACTATCAACTGGGATCCAGTCTAGTAGTGAGTTTTCTGCCCTGGTGCTTAATGCTATACCTACACCTGCAAGACCACGAGAGCTAGCTATCGAATCTCCAGAAACTCGAAGGGTGAATTTTGCAGATTCACCAGATTGGTCAGGAGAGGTCAGGTGAATAACCACACTTGGGTCCTGTATGCGTGTCTCACAAACACAGCACACATCCATGCC